AAGACACGTGTGATCCTCCACCATATGCTAACCTGACATGGAAAAAAACCACCTGAACAATATAAACTGTCTGATTTTTACTTTGGCATCAATTCAACAATTACATAGCAAATCATGAAAAGCAGAAAATATTTGTCTGGAGTATAACATTTTGAGGAAAACACAAAGGCCATTTGGCAACAACAGTAAGCCATTCCACACTTGGAAAAGTCTATGTTCTAGTCATACCATGTTCACATTTTCAGCAGCATCTTCCTAAAGGGGTGTATACATTTAAGAAACATTTCTATACACTTGAACAAAGTTACAAATTTTAAGAGTTTAGAGAAGAAAGCCTGGTGCTCGGAAAAACTGGGATCATTTATGCAATTAAACAAATCAAAAGTCTGTAAGACTCAAGTGCAGACCTGCAAAGAACCAGTCTCACTCAGACTGTATTTACATTCTACTTCTGCACAAAAGCTATAAATTTGTGTATTGCAGCTCTTCAGTCACTCAGCATCTACTCCCACCAGTCCTCCTGGTTTGAATAAGACAAGTCATGACGGCTTATCAATGAGAACATGAGGCCCAGCTGGCAGCCATGTATGTAAGCAAACAAACAGGAAAAAAAGGAACATGGAAGGTTCTCCCTGCTTCACATGAATTTACAAACTAGAAAGTTTGCTAAGGGAAGTTATTGAAAGAAAGAACATTTGGTCTCTGAGACCCATTTAGCACTACTTTCCCAACTAAACACGCCTCAGTCTAGTGACTGACATATTTTCAACCACTTTTTACTTATCTGATGCATTTGAAGCAATAAACTTGAAAATACCGTCCTTTTGGGGTGGAGGGGAATTGAATATTAACCCCTGTTTTCTTGTAATAACTGCCTTACGAGAAGAAACATTTTATCAAAGATATCCACAGCACTTCTGCCAGGTCACCTTCCTCCACGAACCCCAAGATTTTATGTACTTGCTCCTATTTGAAAATCCTACAACAGAACTTTTTCAAGCACAATTTCATTTTATTGGCAAGACTACACAAAACTCCTTGGGAGTTTTCCTTTGACCAAACAGCTGATACCATCAGCTCAGCACTCGCTTCTTCTCTGAGCAGTACTTAGTATCACCGCAGGAACGATTTCTAACTGAAACCTCACAAATAAGGAGGCTAACTAGCAGTAAATACCAACTATTTCTGAACCAAGTAACCCGTGCCCCAAACCATGCTATAAATAGCCTAGCCACATGCCCGCCATGCCCCTTCTCCCCATGACTGCAGCCCAGCAGAGGTGAGGACACGGCCCTTGTTCTGCCACTGCCTTTTGCCTCAGAGCCGCAGCGCAGCAGGCAGGAGCACCCCAGTGCCCCCAGAGCTGCTACTGCCAAATCTGATTTCCACAGCCAATCTCAAGGGTTCATCTGTTATTTCCATCACATTCCTTTTGTTACTATTGCTTGCTATCATTTAGCCCCATTTTATCTCATTTCATAACTTTTTTCCTATTTTTTTTTTCTTTTTTTTCTCTCCTTTTAGCACTCTCTGATACGGGATATTCTCAACAGAGTTATGCAAATGCAAATCCAGCACATTCACCCATCCTCCTTAGCTTCTTTGCACACCTTCCCAAAAGGAAGTTTCCCTGGTCAGAGCAATGCTGATAACCATGCTGGGTCCCACCGCTCAGAGGAAATGACATCCCCATCACGGAGAGGACAGGAGTGAGAAAACTCAGCAGCATTCACAGAATCACAGAATCAGGATGCCTATACATCCACTTACGTACAGCACAGCAGTTTGCTGCAATTTAAAGCAGTTGTGAAACACACTGAGAAATGCCAATCAAAAACCTACAGATCAGCATCTTTGCCAACAAGATGTTCATTTGTCCAAAGCAAAACTTCCACAGTAACACCCGTGTTACTTTCAAAGATGGCATTTCTCACCGCCATCCCCAGGAGGCGGCCCAGCTCCCAGCCTCACAGGGCAAACCCCAGATGCTCCTGAGTGGGCATGTGGCCAGGCAGGGCCACCAGCTGACAGGCCTACGGCTGAGGCTGGGCACCAGCAAGCTGCAGGGCCAGGTCCGTGTGCCTCTGGCCTTCTGTACTGCATCCACCTCCACATCAGTTATCGGCTGTTATGCAGTGGGCTGCTTTGACACACAACGGCAACTCTGGAATTCCTTGGAAACACCGGCCAGGATAATGGAGAATGAAAAAAATAAAATAAAATAAAATAAAATAAAATAAAATAAAATAAAATAAAATTGGAGCTGAAGTACTTTGCAGAACAGGAAATCCTTTCTTGTCAACTCTCCCAAGCAGCTGCCACGGAACGTGGGAAAAAGAAAGTTACTGCTTTCTGAAAAGATGTGAAAATAAATGACAGCATTAAGCACACGGTTTGTTAACACTAGAAGGAAGATTCATCAAGTCAGTACTCAGTGAATTATCACTACAAGGCACCATGAAAGCTTATTCTTGGGATAGTTCTTCAATCTGCAGATGTCGAAGTATCATAAACACGAAGCAAATGTTAATAATGAAATACATAATTAGCAGATAAGCATCAAGGGGAGCCCTGTATGACTGCTTTCAGTTTGCCTCAAAACATGCAGCTTGTTGATGGTACTCGTGAAGATATAAATATTGAAGGCCTCTGAATGGGAAAATTATGTAACAGAGGCAAGAACCATTTTTAAAGATTAAAGAAAAATAATTAGAAAATCAGAGTAAACATGGATATTTGCCAGGGAAAGCAAACTATAGGCAGAACAGAACTATAGGCAGAACAGGCAACAGGCAGAAAAACCTTGAAAAAGCAGCAACTAGGCCAGCAAGTATGAACAGAACCAGTTACCTGGCATATCAACTCATGTATTTTTCTGAACTGCAGCAAGGGTGTCACCTGAGCAGGCAGCCTGCAGCACAACAGGAAGGTACACTACCTGAGCATCACATGGAATTCCACACAAGTAATTGCAAAGGGAGGAAAAAAGAGGAAAAGAAGCCCAGAGGGGAAGAAAAGGAAGACAGGAAATCACAGTTGGATTGACTTATGAGGTGTTTTTCAGAGTGAGTATAGCTCAAGTAACTGTCAAGCACAGAGCAGCAGCCAAGCACAGCAGCATCTGAGGGACTTCAGTATTACGGCGGTAAAGAACCAGAGAACAGAAGTCTGCCTCTAAGGAGCAAGATGCACTACAGATAAAATATGTGGCACACAGAGAATACCATACAAAGCAGGACCTCTGCTACATGGCCTCCCAAGAGAGCAGACAGCCTAGCATTTAATTTACACTGGCCAGAAGACCTTGGAGCACAACCAGGAGCACTGCATCTTTATCTAGAGAGACAGAAACTATGTGACCTCCGACTGCCATTATTCTGTTAAACACTCCACAGCACCCAGGCCAATGAAGGGCTTCAGGAGGAACGTGGAATCTGCCTTTAATTAACTCTGCTCATCGTGGGGCTGTGCATGTACCATCGCTCAGAGCCCCCTTGCTGCTGCCAAAGCCACAACACAAACCTCTCACATGGATCAAAGAGCATTCAGCTGTGAACGGTCATGGCAGACGTCACACACTCGATGTCTGCAGGGACAGCCAAGAATTTTGCACCTTCCTGAACATGACTCTGCAGTAGATAAATGCTGTTGCAGCTTGTGGCGATGCCAGTCACAGCTAATTATAGCTTTATTGAGACATTTTGGCAAGAGCCAAAGGAGTTCAAGCAAACAGCTTGTATTGGGGTTGTGTTCCTGCCCTGCTGCTGACAGCGCATGACTTTGGCACATCATGCATATGCTTGGCCCCTCTTCTGCTAGCTCCCCTCTGACACCCACTGCTCCCCAGAGGGATGCTGGGGAAGCGGAGTGCAGGAGTGGTCTCTGGAGGGGCACTGAGGATATACACAGCTCTGCTGCTGCTGGGCACTGGCAGAACCACTCTGTTCCCAAGGAACACGTTTTCCTCCAGAGCACTCTGTGAGATCTGTATGGGCGATGAAAAAACACCCACTGGAGTCTCGTAAATACCTTAGGATGTGACGTGCAACGTTCTTATTATATGCAACTAAGCTAGTTAATTTCCATACTGTATTTATCAGATATTGTGAACAAAATAGAGAATCATAAAATAATAAGGTTGGAAAAGACCACTAAAATTGCCTTGTCTAACCATCAACCCACCACCACTATGCCCGCTAACCATGTTATGAGCAAATCTTTCACCGAATCACTGAAGCTAAAACACAAACCACATCTCCCCTGTGCTCATGGCCACTTCCTTTGCACTCCTACACGGGGTGCAGCCCTTGGTGAGGAATGGCATGCCACCACTCCCCTCCGGCAGGGTTTGCCTGATGTTACCATTGGAAGTACGGCTAAGGAACTGACTTTCCTCCTAACTTGAAACAAAAATGAAGAAAAACAAAAGAACAACAACAAAAGAGATAAGTGGTTCTTGCTGTTAAACAGACTTAAGACTCTCGACACAGACGGTACTTTCAAGGAAAGAAACAGAAAGAACTGCCAGGAAGGAAGAGGAAGGGAAGGAGACCCAGGAGGAAGCATTCTGTGCCTCGAGCACGGCGCTGGGAAGGACCCACAAGGGGCTCCCGGCACTGCGGGCGGTTAAGATTTACAGCCGAGATTTCCTCGTGAACAAAGCCGGAGCAACACCGCGGCGCAGGCCGCGCCGCCCGCCGTTATTAGCGTTAATACGAGGCGCGCATCCCGGAGCGCCCGACCGCGGTGGCTGCAGGCCAGCACTTCACAAGTTTCCTAAACCACAAGATCGCTATCGGCGCCCTCACAACGCGCCCCTCGGCCTCGGGGCTGCGGGGCCGACTCCTCCCGGCCAGGTCCCACCCGGCCGCCCCCCGCAGGCCGCCGCCATGTCACGCCCCTCCGAGTGGCGGCGAGGAACCGGGGCCGGTGGGCGGCGCTCCCCCCGCGGGCCGGGGGCGCAGCGGGGCGCGGGGAGGGGGCCAGGGTGGCGACGTTACCTGCAGCTCCGCCCGCTCCGCCTCCCACTCGGCGCGCTCCGCCTCGAAGCGGCCCCACTCGTGCTGCAGGAAATGCAGGATGCCCGGCACGCTGTACTGTGCCCGCGACGCCGACACCGGCGCGGCGGTGCCGCCGGCGGAGACCCCTCCACTGCCGCCTCCCGCCGCAGCCGCCGCCGCGGCCGCCGCCGCCTCGCCCGGCTCCAGCCCGGGCCCGCCCGTCGGCGGCGGCAGCAGCAGCGCGTTGTTGTTGTTGTTGTTGCTGAAGAAAACGCCGGGCCCCGCTTGCTCGTCCATGGCCGG